GATTTAAATCCGGAAAAATAGTTTCTTTTCAATAGGAGAGTTATAAAATTTCACATTTGTACATAATTATTTTCACGTAATACTGTGAAACACCCTTTAAAACCGGAACGCAGTAATGCTCACACTACTGCTTGGCGGCAGAAATAGCAACGGTGGCAGTACTTCCCTGAACGAACTCTATCACAAAGAGCTCTTCGCTGCTTAATAAATAGGTATTTTAGTCAAGACTAAAAAAATAAATTTATACTGTTTTAACGACCTCCGTTATTTGTTCTCACCGCACTGGTTTTTTCTCGTATGGACAGTAGAAGCAGAAACTTTTCGATTTAATTCAACCTTCACAGTTCCTCTTTCGATCAACTAGAAATTCCGGAACACTCCATCCATATGTTGTTGATATACCCCCCATTCGCAAGAAGCGTTTCTCTTTCGTAATGAGTATAGCAAAGGAATGAAATAAGCCACGTCATCTGTTACGCGAAAAGTACATTTCACGGCTATTATAAATGTGGTTCTTAGAGTGAATAGGCATCTTTTAAACAAACGCATACCATTGTCGATCATCACTGAACATCAAGTGATGTTGCACAAGGTCAAGTACGCGTCAGCTAAATTTGAAAACCTCGTAACTCCGTTTTTAGACATTGACTTCTGATTCGTTATTAGAAGTACTTCATCTCATTAGGTCATTGATTATTTTAGGGACTTGAGAGAGTCACGAGTCACTAGAAATTATATTTTAAACTTTAATTACCCGATAATGCGCTTGAAGAATATTCAAATTCAAATTAAAAATTCAAATTCAAATTCAAAAATAAAAAAACTCCTTCCATCTGACACGACTTGAAATCAAAAGTGGTTTATAACTGCATAATTTAAAACAAAATATGTGGTTTTTTGTACGCAAACATCCATTATCGGGTAATATTATGGGCCATGATATTTAAGTCCTATTTTGCGTATTCCCAAAAAGTTGGGATTTTATGATGGGTCACACTCATTCTAAAGGTGCGATTTGTTTACTTTTGCAAGAAGTAATCAATAACATAAAAATTTCTTGGAACTTGATAATTTACGCATTATCGTCTTTTATTTTGGTATCAATGTAGCATTGAGTTAATTTTACTAATAATCTACATATCTAGCTACAACGTCTAATCTCACTTATAAGTGTATAAACCAGAATTATGATACGGTTTGTGACTCATTCGTGCCATTATTTGTTACCGAATTTGGATAAGTTTCGTGAATGGATAGGTAATATTTCACATATGAAATGAAAACCCATTTTAATTTCAGTTTGAGATTAGCACCAATAACTCTTTTTGATGACCTCGATGGCCCAACGGTTTGCACTGTGAACGGGATAAGGACATCCCGCATTCGATTCCGGATAGGACCAATTTGAAAACTAATATTTCTAAATTTGTTCCTGTCTAGGTGTTCAGAGTTAATTTCGTTGCTCCGTTACTCATAGTACATGAGATAACCTAGGTTAGAACTAGGTAAATTAACATGCAACCTACGTATGTATTCACACCCTTTTCCCACTGAGGTAGGCAGAGACAACAGCCTTCCACGTATTGATTTTTTGAAATTTCACGATATTTTACCTATCTTTTTAAAATTACTTCTCTAGTTTGTTATACATAGACCAAACGCAAAGAAAAATTCCTCAGAACTGACTTGAACCTGCGTCCACGTGGTACCGTAGCGTCGCTCTGCCAATTGAGCTACAGGTACTGGAGTTTTTCGGCTCTCGACGCCATAAGCGACATCTTTAGAGAAATTTATTTAGCCTTCCACTTGCTACGATTCTAATGCACATCTACACGCATCTTAATGGAATATAAATTTTTAATAGCAGTAGAGCTCTTGTGAAAGAGTTCGTCCAGTACTGTAAGTACTGTAGTCCCTTACTTTTTTCTGCCGCCTAGCAGTAATGTCAGCATCCTGTGTTCCGGTTTTGAAGGGTACGGTTGCTGGTGAAATTACAGGCACATGGGACTTGTCAACTTATGTCTCAGGGTGACGGGCGCAGTAGGAGTGGCCCTCGGATCTTTGCGATTTAAAGCTGTCACTGTAACTGTTATGGACATGTTGCTTTTCAGCAGGCGCACGACTAGTTCGTCCCGTCACTTGTTACCATAAAAAAAATATAAATTTAATATTGAAAATAACCTTTTACTGACACAATTGTAAGTTATGTCCATTCTTTCCGATTTTGGAAATCACAAATCACAAAAATACAATAAATCCACAAAACTTGTCGTAAATAATACTATACAGTACATACCATTGCTTATTTTTCTTATCTTTAAACGCTCATTGTATTCAAAGGCTAAACATAAACACGCAAGCAGTATTATCATATACCTAATTGTAATCAATTACTTATGCGTCAGAAATATTTGAAAAATAATAATAACGGACACACTCAACATAGCCTCGCACTAGGGAAACCCCGTATCGCGGGTGCCATGGACACACACAGAGACAACCATAAATGACACCCAAAGTCACGAGAGAAATAAATGTAGGCCGTACAAATATTTCTCCAGGCCCGAGAATCAAACCTGGGATCTCTGCGTGTCAGTCCAGCATGGTAACCGTCCGGCCACGGAGTTAAAATAATAAAAATATTTATTAAGTACAATATTGTATATTATAATAAAAATAATATGTACAATATTGAATGAGAAAATATATTTAATACTTTTTCCTTGTCATTGACCTGCCTCCTTTTGGCACGAAGCACATCCTTCCTTATGGCAAAGTAACTGAAAACAATGCCGTTCTGTGTTTCCCGAAAGCTGCACAAGAGCAAAACCTAGTAAGGGACAATTTTTTTTTAATATTTTTTTATCGGCGTAGTACTTCCACTCCCTTACTCACCCCGTCTACCACGCAGAGGTCCCGGGTTCGATTCCCGGGCCGGGAGAAATATTTGTATGGCCTATATTTATTTCTCCGCCGCCAATCAGTAATATGAACATTTCTGTGTTCCGATTTGGAAGGGTAAATGTACTGGTGAAATTACAGGCACACGGGACTTGTCAACTTATGCCTCAGGGTGACGGGCGCAGTGGCAGAGGTCTTTGTGATTTAAAGCTCTAAGTGGCAATGTAATTGTTATAGATAGGTATGTCGCTTATCTCCAGGCGCACGACTGGTTCCTCCCTTCACTTGGTATTATAAAAAACGCGATAACAGCCGCTTCAAAGTTCTAGAACTTATCAGAGATTTAGAAACCTTAAAACGTACTAAGGCACACCCACACGGTAAAAACAGATTACTTA